GATACATATACCAGCACTTCTCTTTGTTGCATCCTCTCTCACTCTCTCATATTTCTCTCACTCAGAAAAAATCTATACTCTAAAGTAGGCCTGTGCAGCAGCCCTCCATAATTCATCTTGCCTGGAGATGCAGTATATAGACACACTCTGTTTTATATAGTATCTATAAAACATCTCTCCAGCACGGGCAGAGTAAAGACACACACACACACACACTCACACACAAACAAACAGCAACACTGTCAAATCTATCCCCAAAGTCCGCAGGCGGAGCGCAGCCCGACTTATGCGGAGTAAAACCAGCATCCAATGCAATGCAGTTGATTTAAGAATTCATAGCGCAGACTCGAGGCACAGCAGCTATGCAGAACGAGGCAGTGCCGGCATCCTCTGCATCCCAATGAGGAGGCTCAGCTTCAACTCCACATCCCAACTGTAACTGCCTGACACCTCTGTAATCTGAACAACAGCTCAGCCTCATGCACGGCCGACCAGCATGTGTGCTGTGTGACTGCTGCATTATCTCTACTGGTGCCACTTTCCTGCCTTTCCCCTTGAAGCTATAGCTGACAAGGAGGATGAATTACAGGGCTATAATGAAGACTAATTAGGGGGCAAATAATAGCTAAGATGATATTCTAAAGGATAATACCTGAAGGCTTTAAAGGACAAAAGTCTCATGAAAAAAATGTTAGTCATAGTTCTTGGCAAAATAGCCCTTCTCCATTTCTTTTGCCTGAAAAGAAGCCAACAGTTGGCTTAGATTGCCTGCTTATAAAAGTCCTGTGAAAACCTTTCATTTCTTTAGGGGGATATTCATGTTATCACAACATTATAAGGATTAGGAGAAAACTCAGCCTTTCTCGTGCTTATAAACCCCTCTTCAGAATCCACTGAGTAAACTCAAATGCATGAAGACCAGGCTAAAAATAAGGCTGCTGCCGTCCTGAGAAGGTGACATTTTGGACATACAAGGTTTTCACTTGACAGGTACATTATTAGTATATGCCTATACCTACTACTGCTGCTGCTGCTACTGTCCCATTTCATCTGCAGCAGTCCTAAACCTTGTTTACAGAGATTTGATACACTTTTAGAGACTCACTGTTCACAAAGACACATTTTATACAAAAACAGAAATGTAAAACAAAGCTTGAACATAATCCTGATCATGTCAGGTTATAACAGTCAAGGGCTTGAACAACAGGATGTCCTTTTTTTTCATTTCATTCCTCAGGTTGGACAAGAAAGAAAGAAAGAAAGAAAGAAAGAAAGAAAGGGGAAATGCGCAGCCAATTTTTGAAGTCAGGAGTTTGGTGCAGGACGGATTTACTCAGCCCGGTCCAGTTTCCCCATAACTACCGGGCCAGTACTAGTACAATACTCCTGCTACCACTGTTCAGTTCAACAGCCCTTTAAATCCTTTACACTGCAGTGCTGTTAAATCAACCTCTAGCCCAGCAGACTACTCACCTCCCATCGCAGCTTTCATTACAAAATTCATGATGAAGCAGTTCTGTGTTCTCTTCCTTCAGTGGTCACGTTATCAGGGACAGACCTACAGCCAGGGGACAGAACACACAGGCTATGACTGCATGAATACCACTGTTAGGACATGCAGTTACACCTCAGTGGTTTTCATATACAAGAGTTGGATGGGATGGGGGAGGATGACGATGATGTGGCTCGATGCGTACAAGAAACGACCTCCAGACGGAGACCCTTGTTTGGAATAGGACCTTTCAAAACCACCAAGAAACATATTATTTTTACAATAATCGCAGTATTGTATTACTTTATTTCTACTTCCTGATGCATCTTTAACAAAATGTGATCATCTCTTCTCCAAGGCACAAAAAGGGTGATTAAACTGGGTTAAGATGGCTTTACTCTCCAGTACCACACCGTGTCCTGAGTTTTGTCGAGGCACCTGCGCCCTCGATTTACAACCAACACTCCATCTTGTGTGGATTTATGCTGATGCTGCCTGGCTGCCTGTGATGTATCCTTGTGGAAATAACCCCCAGAAAGACACACAAAGACAGGGTCAAAGATGAGCAAGTGGAGGCATGATTTTGTGTCAGTACATGGGCCTCAGAGAGCATCACACAGACTGCCAGAGAAAAAGGAAACACTTTAAAAAAAAAAAAAAAAAACTAGGTCTTTATGGTGCTCATTTGTGGGTTTATATTGAGCATTATGACACTCTATTCCCTATGATATGACTACAGTAATCCCATATTAGCCTTGGGATTTAAAGTGACTGCTCACTAGTCAATTTAAAATAGCCTTATATAATATTGCTGCTGTGACTTTGTGTCTGAGCTACTCAACTATAAGTTTAAAAAATAAACCTCCAGTGTTCTTATAATACTCCTATGATCTGTCTACGGGAGTTGTAGAGCTCAAGGACGAGTTTATATCGACCTTCCTGTACTTAATGCAGATTTCTTTTTGCAATCTTTTTACGACATAACCTCACGGGTAGTTTTGCTGCATTTTACAGCATCCCCTCTGCCACTGCAGTACATGCGAGCAGGGGAAAACAAAATTCTCCTGAAAACTTGCTGCACTCATTATTGCATCGCCGTTTTCGTCCCCGGGTCATTTTCACTGGCTCAAAGTCGAATCTGCAGCATGCAGCTGGGCGCCTTTAAATCATTTCCTGGTTCCCTTCCTCTTCTTCATCATCATCTGCAGCAGCAATAGCATCAGCATCAGCATCAGCATCAGCAGCAGCTTCTCCTCGCATGAACCCTCACAGTATCAACTCACGGCTCGGTGCGGTGCAGCATTTCGGCACAATTACAGTGCCGTACAGTAGCAACGTGTTCCCTGTCAAATTACTGCACCCACAAGCTTAGATACGGTTTCCTGAAAGCCAGGATGCGTTTAGAAGTACATGGAAGCATCAGCATCTTTTTACCGAGTGCACCAACCTACCACCATCCGGTCCCGTACAGCAAAGCCACACACAAACATCCCTGCCCGTGCTTGTTCGGACCATCGTTTACCTTGTTTTGATCCTCCTCCAAGTCTTTGTCCCTCCAAAGAAAAAAGCTCTTGTCGCAGCGTTATAAGCACGCTCCTTCTTCTCCCTCAGTGGTGGGGGGGACAGAAATCACAAGTTGTGCGTCTTTAAGGAGGGATTGTGTCTTCCTGTGCGGTTCTCAGTTTGCAGACATGCCGGTTGTGTCGGAGTCAGGCAACGGCGGAGGGAGGAAGAGGAGTCTATTCCTGCAGGACGAGATGAGAGCATGCAGAGGGAGGGAGGGAGGGGAGAGAGGGAGCACATGAACGCAAGAGCACCCAAGTGGAGGGTTCTGTTTCATTCTCACAGCTTCAACAGAGAATAAACATAAAAAAAAAGTTATTTAAATGTTCCATAATAAACTCAAGCAACTGCTTGGAATCAGATGGCAATGTATAAGATGAACATCCAGGCAGCATTTGTACCTTCCTCACAGATATGTATTCATTTGTTCTTGGTTTATTATGCCACTACAAGTTATACAACATTAACATATTATCACCTTAAAAAAATTGTGTTCCCCATATATAAAATCCAGCCACATTGGCATTAAATGTGGCCACCTGACAAACATAAGTCCAATAACTGCTCTTAGCTCTGTTTTTGGTCTCCACCCACTCCTGAGGGAAACATCTGGCTCTTTAGCTGCTATGCTTTAAGTTCACCAGCTAGTTGGGCAGGTAATTTACAATTTGTTTTTTTTTGTTTTTGTTTTTTTGCTGAGCTGCTGCTGCTGGAAATAAGGTTGATGAAAGTGATGGGACTAAACCAAAACAGTAAAGCAGTACAGTGAGTTTAAATACAATAAAGCCATCTGTAGAGCTGAGAGGAACCAGGTCAGGTGATGTATCTCTGTGGGTAACTTTCATATTAGATGTAGTCATTTGATCCATTGCTAATCTAAAAATATAATTTAGATCCCCTTTTACAACCGCTGACATGTTGTGCTTTTGTTTTTCAGTGTTTGCATTCTCAGTTTGTGCCTTTATTCTGCTCCAGATTTTGATTTGACTTTTCTATGTTGTTTTATGCACAGATAAAACAAGATATGCACAGATAAAACAAGGATCCATGGATAATTATATTAGTCAGGGAGCAATGTTAAGTTAAAATAGCTCACTGATAGATCTTTATTCTCGTATCCTCTTTCTAATAGTGACAATGAGACTCTAAGATAGTTGTATAATAAGAGGCTTGGGAAGACAGTATTCAAGTTTCTGACAGATAAAATCAGGTCCTTAAGATATTTGAAATCTTTATATTTAATTTTCTGCTGGCAGACCAAAGATCTACTGTGGTGTAATATCAGTCTGAAAATATTTTCTTGGCAGGCTGGAAAAGACTGCAGCAGTACATAATGTAATGTTACAGCTACCCAAAGAAGTCAGCATTAGATTTTCCCCTAAATGGATGCATCACGTGTTATTAGAATTGTTATTTATTTATGTTTACTTTTATTTATTTTGCAACTTAGGGTTTTATTTTTGCAGTTATGTTATTCAGTCGTATTAACAGGTTGGAAGAAGTTAATTCCCGGGATGTGGTGGCATTGTTATGAATCCTGTAGGGCAGGTTACAGTGATCAGATGATTATGAGGAACTTATTGCTGGCAAAATACTATCTGAGTGGATAGTTAGTTGGCTAACTTGAACATGCAAAATTACAACCCCAGCTAATATGATCCATGATACAAACTGAGGTATTATGACAGACTTTTAGCCAACAAGAAATGGTGTAACTGTACACAGCAAACAATTGCTTTCTACTTGCCAAGAGCAATGCAAGACAGGGGAATCCAATTAACTATAAATTAGTTAGGCTGGTTGTAGTTTGGTAGCCGGGTGTGGGTCTGACATTGGTTGGTTTGTGGTGTTGGCTGATGTAGTGGTTTGTAAACGCCAAGCTAGTTGGTAGCATGGCAATGGTCCAAATAAAGTATAGGGTCATTGCAGATAGTAACATTGTTCTAAATAGGATTTTTATTTATTTTCCAGTGTTTAGTCTCCTGTATGTCATTTGTCTAGGATGATGCTGACTCATGTCTACAGACTGTGTATGGAGAGCAACGGGATGCTGACTGCAGGTTACTTAACAGCCACTGCTGTCGCTATTAAACTGGGGGGTTGTTTCTAATCCTTTGTGTCGCTTACGGATCGATGCCACTGCTATCTGCAGATATCACAGATTCACTTGGGGAGTAAAATAATTTATTATCAATTATAAGTATGGAAAACAAAACCAAAATGTTTGAAATTAACCATCGATTAACTGATTACTGACCTCTAGAGTGCAGAAATATTTCAAAACAACCTCACAATGGTGTGGTGTTATGCTAAGATATGGCGTTATGGTAGCTTGCAATTGTGTAGTTATACATCAAGCAGAAACCGAGCAACACAAGCAGACAGAGGACATATATTAGGGAGAGAGAATGTGACATTTATCATTTTAACCTAACCTTGTTTCTGAGGCTCAACTAAACCGTCAGCTCTAAAATAAGCCCTTTCTGCCCCTGCAAGTGCTTATAATGTCCTTGCTTTTTTACCCCATAGTAACGTTGCCACATGGTGATGCAGACAAGCAGAGTGCGAAGAGACGACCAAGGGGAGCTTAAACTGCTGCACCTCCCATCAATTAATCAAGACACAGGAGGCTGTGTCCAGTCAACACACTGTGGCACAAGCATCCATCACCTTGTTTATAGCCTAGAAACACTTGGAAACAACAGCACTGTGCACACTCACACACACACTGCTGTTGTTGTCCTCTGACTGTCCAAAATCGCTACAGTATAGTTTTGTTTATTCTTCTTATGTGCCTATGATTTATAGTCTCTTGGTTTTAAGGTCAGAAGTTGGCAATTTTTGCTCTTGACCTACATCCACCGTATTATTACTTCAAAGCTGAGTATGACAAAAAACATTTTCTCCTTTAACTGTGTAGCTTCACACCTTTCTTTGGCATGTTGTTGTCTTACAGTTATCCCATGCAGACAGCAGATGCATGGGACCTAAACAAGCAATGGACAAGATACCACATCATGGACAACAAATCAGTGATCTCTCCACAAAGCACTTAAAAAAGAATTCTGAGTTTTCAAAATCTGCATTATCTACAATGGTAGAAACAGCATTTCACTCTTTTAATAGCACAATATTCCAACAGCCAGGTGGTAATCTAACATCTCATTCTCTTCCGTCTCTTTGTGTAATGTGGTACGCGTATTTTATTGTTGTTTGTTCAATCTTTGTTAGTCTCACAAAGAAGTTCAAAACGTTGTATTGTCCTTAATTGTCCACGTGTCAGCATGTTGCCTGTATCCAGGTAATGAGTCACCAGAAATATGTGCCAAAACAGAAAAAAAGTTGCCAACCTATGCCTGATGCTACTGTAATGAACACAGTCTGTGAAAGCACTGATGCTGTGTCAACCTATGACACACAAACAATTATAATGAATGCCATTTGAAATCTGCATTAGCATTTTATACCAAAATATGTATGGCAGAGCTCCACAGGGACTGCATGCCATTAAAAAAGGGCAAATTAACATAGCACTGCTGTCACATGAAAACACAGCTGTGACACTGTTTTTCTTGCTCTCCTCATTTATCCACTTTATTATTTTGAATATTTTGAGGGTAAATATATCATCTCTAAAATATTTGAAAATTATTATTTATAGAAATGATGAAGATTTTGGATCTAGAAATGTTCATTCAGGAGCAACAAGAAAACATTATGTTGGGCAGCAGTGCACCTTTCACACACTGAATTGTGTGAGCATGAAGAAATCACTACACCCCTTACTTTGGTCTTAAGTTGGACAATACCTCTCAGGACATTTTCAGATTTCTAGTTTACCTTGCTCTGTATGTGTATATGGCAATTATGCAAATACTTGCTTGCATCTGATCTGCTGAAGCTGTTGCCCCAGGACAATGAGACGCTGATATTGAAATACAGCACAGTATTGGATGCTGAACTTCCTCCTGTCAGCACTGCTGCAGTCAAATGAAATGTGGATTATGTCACAGGACAGAACCTTAGTGCCGCTGTGCCTTTTCTTGAGGTCGGATGTAACAAAAAGGCAGTGATTTAGGTGTCTGCATCAGTAGATCCTCAGTGAATGGCCTTTTGAAATCCTTTCAAGATCCTTTTGAATGCGTTCATTCACAGTTACCTCCCATTAGTAGCATAGCATCAGACTTATTGTCTGAACTGGTACTTCTGTGCTTATATTGTCTGTAATATTTCAGCTAATATTAGTATTTTTAATCGTATTTTCCCCTAAAGAAACACAAAGAGCCTAAAGTGTGGTTTATTAAAGGGTTGCATTATTACAGCCTTTCATTTAGCCGTCACCTCTTTGCATAAAGGACAGTTTTGCTGACAAAGAGCCAGCTGTCTCACCTCATGGCCCTTATACCACCTCTGATTCATGAAGTATCAACTACCGAGGCATGGGGGAGGATATATAAGAAACATGTATCAAATCCCATTCATTGTGATATAACGTGCAAGCCAGCAGAAAGTCAGCTGAATGCCGCAGGGACACCGTCACTTTGAAGCTTTGAATTGTCTGAGGTACACTGATTATCTGAAAGATTATTCAGACGATGAACCATGTATGCAGTGGCAGCTGGAAACATCCTTTGAGGTCTGATGCGTGGAAGAACCTAAATCGTATACATGTATTAACACCCAGCTGACTACACACTTTGGACCAGAAGAAGCAGACCAAAACTTTTTGGGATGATGGCTGTGGTCATGATAGTAAGTGC